ATATATATATATATAATTTTATTAAATGTTGTTTTGTTCTGCACCATCCACAGCTAGAGAAAGCGTGGCACGCCCTCAGTTTATTGAGAAGCTGAGGAACATTACTGTGAAGCAGGGCACTCTGGTTGAGTTGGCTGTCAAAGCCATTGGAAACCCCCTGCCTGACATCGTCTGGCTGAAAAACAGTGACATTATCACCCCGCAGAAGCACCCACATATCAAGTATGTACCTTTAATTTTAGCTATGAATCATTTTAATATTATATGTAAAGCTGTGAGTAGTTTAGTAAATGTCCTGATCAATGTATCTGAATGGTTACGTATTTCAGGATTGACGGAACTAAAGGAGAGGCCAAATTCCAGATTGCATCTTCTTCAGGCTCAGACAGCGCCTGGTACACTGCTACAGCCATCAACAAGGCTGGCAGAGACACCACTCGCTGCAGAGTCAACGTTGAGGTGGACTTCACTGCTCCTCAAGCTGAGAGGAAGCTCATTATTACCAAAGGAACCTACAAAGCCAAGGAGATCGCAGCTCCGGAGTTGGAGCCCCTTCATATGCGATATGGTCAAGAGCAATGGGAGGAAGGTGACCTTTATGACAAAGAGAAGCAGCAGAAACCACAGTTCAAGAAGAAGCTGACCTCTATCAGAATGAAGCGCTGCGGTCCAGCTCATTTTGAGTGCAGACTGACTCCTATCGGTGATCCCACCATGGTAGTGGAGTGGCTGCATGATGGCAAACCCCTGGATGCTGCTAACAGGTTACGCATGGTCAATGAATTCGGCTACTGCAGTCTTGATTATGAAGCTGCTTATGCCAGAGACAGTGGCGTCGTCACCTGCAGAGCCACAAACAAGTTTGGAGTCGACCAGACTTCGGCCACCCTGATTGTTAAGGATGAGAAGGGCCTAGTCGAGGAAACACAGCTTCCCGAAGGCAGGAGGGCTCCACACAGAATGGATGAGATTGAGCGAATTGCTCATGAGGGAGGACCTGCAGGAGTAACCACTGACGACGAATTTGAAAAGACCAAACCTGATATTGTGCTGCTCCCTGAACCGGCCAGAGTCCTGGAAGGTGACATTGCACGATTCCGCTGCAGAGTGACTGGTTATCCAGCACCCAAGGTTAACTGGTACATCAACGGACAACTCATCCGCAAAAGCAAGCGATACAGACTTCGTTATGATGGTATTTACTATTTGGAGATTGTTGACATCAAGTCCTACGACTCAGGAGAGGTCAGGGTGGTTGCAGACAATCCTCTTGGCACAACTGAGCACACTGTGAAGCTGGAGATCCAACAGAAAGAGGACTTTAGATCCGTACTGCGCCGTGCTCCAGAATCAAAGGCTGCAGAAGCCCCACGTGAGCCTGGCAGAACCGGATTTGATGTTGTGAAGGTCGACCGATCTGCTGAGGCCGCACAGGACAGAGAAGTAGTTAAGCTGCGTAAGGCACAGAGAATTGTTCACGAGAAAACCACAGAGGAGTCAGACGAACTGAAGAGCAAGTTCAAGCGTAGAACAGAGGAAGGTTTCTATGAGTCCATCTCTGCTGTGGAGTTCAAGTCTCGCAAGAGGGACGACTCCTATGAAGATCTACTGAAGAAGACTAAGGACGATCTGCTTCATCGCTTGAAGGAGAAAGAAGAAGCTGAGAAGAAGTTGCTGGAGGAACAGGGCAAAGTCACCATCCCCACAATCAAACCAGAGAGGGTCCAGCTCTCTCCCAGCATGGAGGCACCCAAGATCCTGGAACGCATTACTAGCAAGACAGTTGCTCCAATGGATGAGGTTCGTTTCCGAGTCAGAGTCATTGGCAGACCAGAACCTGAGTGCCAGTGGTTCAAGAACGGCATTCTGGTGGAAAAGTCAGACCGTATTTACTGGTACTGGTCTGAGGATCACGTGTGTGAACTGGTGATCAGAGATGTCACAGTAGAGGACTCAGCTAGCATCATGGTTAAAGCCATGAATGTCGCTGGGGAGGCCTCAAGCCATGCCTTCCTGCTGGTGCAAGGTAAAGCCATTTTACCAAACCTCTCCAGTAATATGCTCATTGATTATGTAATCTATTTCAAAGTCTGACTTCATATGTTCTCCTTGCAGCCAAGGCAGCAGTTAACTTTACCCAACACCTGGAAGATGTCAGTGCAAATGAGAAGGATACCATGATGACTTTTGAGTGTGAAACCAACGAACCTTTCGTCAAAGTCAAATGGCTCAAGAACAACACAGAGATCTTTTCCGGAGACAAATACAGAATGCATTCAGACAGAAAGGTCCACTTCCTGTCTGTGCTGACAATTGAAATGAGGGATGATGCCGAATACACTTGTGTGGTTACAGATGATGAGAGCATCAGGACTAGCGCAAGGCTCCATGTAGAAGGTAATGTTTACACCAAGAGTCTTTCAGGGTTCTCTGTGCTTATAGGTTGTGGAAATTTTATCATGGATCCTTAGAAAATCACAGAAAAGCTTAGAAATTTTGTCCATGAAAATTTGTGGGAACCCTGTTCTTTCCATCTGTGGTTGTCTTTTGTCTTATTTTGGTGGATTGGTAGATAATGGCTCTTGATATCGTTCTGTATTCAGGTGCTGCCCTGGAGCTCGTAAAACACATGGAGAACATTGAGGTGCCAGAGACATACGCTGGAGAGTTTGAGGTTGAGCTGTCTCGTGAGGATGCCGAGGGCAGCTGGTTCTTCGGAGATAAGGAGCTCTCTCCCAGCAGCAAATATGTCATGTCCTCCCGCAGAGGAAGACACTCCCTGTCCGTCAAGGATGTCAGAAAGGGAGACCAGGGGAAATATACCTTTGTATGTGGAGATCTGAGGACCAGCGCCTCACTGAAGATGAAATGTAAGTAACGTAACAGAGTAGTGAAGTATGTGGATAAACTGGTTCTCAAAAGGGTTTCTCAAAGGTAGTGTTCTTGTAAATGTATTGATACTCATATTTGTAGGTTATTAAACAAATACAACATTATTAAACAAATACAACATTTGTTGTATTTGTGATTCAGTCATTGGTAGACTCATAAGCTAGTCTCTGAATACTTTCTCCCAGCTTTCTTTGGTAAAATTGGGTGGAAACAATTAGTGAGTTTAAAAAAAAAAACTGCACTGCAGAACCAATCCAGAGTCTTCAGGGTGGTGTCATGCAGAAGTCGTTTCCCTGTCGTCCTTGTTGTACCATTGCTCAACATTGCTCAGGACATCCATTTTCAGTGTTTTATAAAGCACTACTACTTTGCATTTAGAAATCCTGAGACGATCAGTAGGTGCTGTGATTGGTGGCTGTAGTATAATGTGATAATAATGGGGTTTCTCTATCTTTAGTGCGCCCAGTGACCCTGATGCAGCCCTTGACCGACCTCACAGTGTGTGAGGGCGACATCGCTCAGCTGGAGGTCAGGTTCTCCCAGGAGAACGTTGAGGGAACCTGGATGAAGAGCGGCCAGGCCATCTCCGCCTCGGACCGCATCCACATCGTTATTGACAAACTGGTGCACAAGCTGCTGGTAGAGAATGTCACCAGAGAAGATGCTGCTTCCTACTCTTTTGTGGTTCCCGCCCAAGACATTTCCACCTCTGGCAAACTCAGTGTTCAAAGTAAGAGTCAGAATTAACATCAGATCTAAGTGATACCAAACTCTAACCACGAAAACACACCAAATCCTTACATCTTTGTCATATTTTTATTATCTTTCCTTACAGCCATTGACATTGTGGTGCCACTGAAGGATGTGTCCTCCATCGAAGGCACCAAGGCTGTTCTGGAGGCCAAGATCTCAGCTCAGGACATCAGCTCAGTCAAATGGTACCACAATGATAAACTGCTGGTACCCAGTGACCGAGTCCAAACTGTGGCAAAGGGAGCCAAACAGCGTCTGGTTCTCACCAGGACCTACGCCTCTGATGAAGGACACTACAAACTGGTGGTTGGCAAGGTCGACACCAGCTGCAGCCTGACTATCGAAAGTAAGACTGATTTATTTTTTCCCCGGATCCTGTTTTTAGATCCCAATTCCAGTTCTGTGTTTTAACCACGTTGTTGTCTTTACAGAGGTACACATTGTGAAGCACATGGAGGACAAAGTGTGCTCAGAGTCCCAGAACGTCACCTTTAATGTTGAAGTTTCTCACCCCGGTATCGACCCACTCTGGACATTCAGGAGCCAGCAGCTCAAACCTGGACCCAAACACAAAATGGAGACCAAGGGCAAGGCTCACTCTCTTACGGTCATTGACACCATGAAGGACGAGGAGGGCCAGTACATGTTCCATGCCGGTGAAAAGACATCCAGCGCCAAGCTTACTGTCTCCGGTACGTCTAAACTCTTTACGAGATTATTGCCTTCTGCGTTCCAATGACATTCAAGTGAACTAATTTACACATTCACTGATTCTTAAGAACCCCTGTTACAAATAATACCTTTAGCATAACAATGTAACCCTATAAATGTACCCCTTACTTTGGGTTTGTTTGAAACAATACATTTGTTCAAATATTTAATACAGGCTTTAAATCAAGTCATTAAGTCAAGACTATATAATCAAATGTAAATTTTGTTTTTATCATGTGATCTATGGTCAGATCTTTTGCCCCAAAACCATAAAAAAAACTGCTTCCATGTGCTGCCACTAGGTGGAGCCATTACACGGCCCCTGCAGGACGTAACGGTGGCGGAGTCTCAGACAGCTGAGCTGGAGTGTGAAGTTGCCAACGCCAACGCTGAGGGCAAGTGGCTGAAGGAGGGTAAGCCTGTGGACTTCAGCGAGAACGTGGTGAGTGAGGTAAAGGGAGCTGTCAGACGCCTCATCATCATCATCACCAGACCACAGGATGTCGGAGAGTACAGCTACCAGGTGGCCAACTCCAAAACCACCGCCAACCTCAGGGTGGAGGGTAAGCTTCTCACATATTCGGTGTCCACATAAGACCAAGAAATATGTGGTTATTTCAAGATGACACAGGATTACGATACAAGGTGCAGGGTTCAACATCAGTGTTTTTTATCCATATAGGCAGAAATCTACTTCCCCAAAGTCAATTTTTAGTGCGCCTATACAAACAGTTTTATTTATTAGTTTTTTCAAATAACAAATTTCAAATAACAAAGACCCTCTTAGCTGCTATACAAATGCAAAATTTAGTGAACACTGACATTTCCTCTAGCACCACCTGCAGTACAAACAACACATTTTATCGGCCCCACTGGCAAGTCTCTAAAAATAGAGAAATCCTCGATATGTTATTTCTTATATCGTATACTATCTTATAAATACTGAGTCCTCTGTTTCTGCAGCGGTGAAGATCAAGAAAACTTTGAGGAACCAGACTGTGACAGAGACCCAGGAGGCGGTATTCACCCTGGAGCTCACCCACCCCGACGTGAAAGGATCCCAGTGGATCAAAAACGGTGTGGAGCTTCAGAGCAGCGACAAGTACGAGATCACCACCGACGGCATGGTCCACACGCTGAAGGTCAAGAACTGCAACACACAGGACGAGTCTGTTTATTCCTTCAAACTGGGAAAACTGTCGGCCAACGCCAGACTCAACGTAGAGAGTGAGTATTACTGATTCACTGATTTACTGTACGCCCCATAATCTACGACTTCCCAATAAACTCATTGCTCATATCTGGTACTTTGCAGCGATCAAAATCATAAAGAAGATTAAGGACGTGACATCACTGCTGGACAGCACCGCCTCTTTCGAGATGAGCCTGTCACATGACAACATCCCCGTCAGGTGGATGTTTAAAGGCGTGGAGCTGAAGTCAAGCGACAAGTGTAAGATTCTGTCGGAGCGGAAAGCTCACAAACTGATCCTGCAGAACGTTGACAGCAGCAATGCAGGAGAGTATACGGCTGTGGTCGGACACCTGCAGTGCAGCGCCATGCTCACCGTGGAGGGTGCGTAATGTATTCCTAATAATAACAGTAATACTAATACTATTAATAATTATAATCTAAATAATGAAAAAGTTACAGTATCACAGTTAAAACTAAAAGGATTAGAAAATGAATGAATTTTAATTTGTAATTTATTTTGTAATATGTATTTGTTTTAGTTTTTGTACATTTATTTAAAAAAATTACAATCACAGTTCTATTTGATTATAAATTCTATTATGTTTTACTTGATTTATTTTAATTATATATATATATATATCATATACGTATATATATAGTAGGTATATGTATGAGTAGCTTTTGTAGAAATGTATCATACATTTCATTTGTTCCAGACGAATTTTGGTACTTTTTATTTATTTATATTATTTATTCAAAATAATTTTTAGAGAAATCTTTATTTTATTAATAATTGTAATTAGTATTTTATGTAATTAAGTGTATATTTCTGTATATTTTATAATTTTTACTTTGTTCATTTGTATGGAAAAGTGATCACACATCCTATCACAGTGCTCCACGGACTCTATTTTACTCTCAATTCTTCTGACTTGTGTTATTTCTCGGGTTCGTCTCTTGCAGCTCTGCGAGTCACCAAACCCATGAAGAGTGTGGTGGTCCCGGAGACCCAGGTGGCCACGTTTGAGTGTGAAGTCTCTCACTTCAACGTGCCGTCCACCTGGCTGAAAGACGGCGTGGAGATTGAGATGAGCGAGAAGTTCAGGATTGTGGTTCAGGGAAAACTCCACCAGCTGAAGATCATGAACACCAGCAGGGACGACTCGGCAGAGTACACCTTCATCTGCGGGAACGACAAAGTCTCTGCAACGCTCACCGTTAACCGTAAGACCACGTTCACGTCAAAACCACTCAGATCACACCAAGATAATGTCTCTGAGGGAGACTGACGGCGCTCTGCACAAACAGAGGAGGGTCTTACTTTATGGTCAGCTGAGTTTCTGTGTGTTTCCCATGTGGCCAGTCTCTTCAGGATAAAGATTTAATTATTAAGATTAAATTTCCTATTAAAGTAAAAGCTACAGGAATACAGTAGTGAGGTCATTTACGGAGTTTCCGGATGGAAAGATACCTGGCAAGAAAACCACCTTGGTACTGTCTTCTTAAACTCATCAAACTGGCCTTCGTTCCCTTCCTCTAGCAGTATCATGGGAACAATAAGTAAAAACATTTGAACCTTTTCAGAACTTTAGAAATCTGACTTAAAGATGATGAACCAAACAAAAAGTGGATTTATAATTATAATAATGATAATTTGCAATATTTTGTCATTTTTGTGAAATTTGCATGTGAAAACAAATACACATAAAAAAATAAAACCAAATTCACTATTAATGTAATGGATTACATGTAACTGAGTTGCATAATCAGGATACCAAAAACAGGGTAACTAATCTATTATAGAAAAATACGTAGTCATATTACAGTTACATTTAGTAAAAATGGGGATTATTAATTACAATTTAAAGAAACACACTAAGCAGAGGACACATTGTTGATGTTGCCCTATAGCTCACCTGGTAGAGCTGGCTTATGTATAAAGACTGAGTCCTTCCCTTTGTATCTTCAGCTGTCAAATAAAGGCCAAAAGCCCAAAATAAAAACAAAACAAAAAAAAAAACTTTCATTTTTTTCTGTCTCCATTTTGTTTTCTACGTTCACATTGTTCTGTTGTCTTACACTCACATCAGTACTTCTTAATAACACTCATTTTGTCTTTGTCTTTATTTGCAAATTTGGTGTTGAAGTAAGTAAAGTAATGGAAAGTAATCAAGTTACTAAATTTTCTAAGGTCATTAGTAACAATCGTAATAATGATTAATCTAAAGTAGCCCTCCAAACCCTCAAGAATAAATTAAGTTTAATGTATATATTGTATTATATATTTATTTTATTTCTAATTTGTAATTCAAAAATCAAAGATTATTATTGTCATTATTTTTTGTAGTAGCAGCAGAATTAGAAGTTTTAGTGTAATGATTATAATATACATTTTATTTATATAATTGATTTATAATGTAAGTTTGACCATAATTAGAACAAAAAATGTATCAAATATCATAAAATAAACATCTGAAAATGTTATGTAATGAATTAAAAACAAAAAACAAAATTCATCCTGTAAGCTTTAACTGCAGCTGTAAAACATAAAACAGACCAAAGAACATTTATTTAAAGTTTAATGATAATAATACGTTTTCAGAAGTGATTGTAGTATTTCTGTGTTTCACCCGGCCTGTTCTCTCGTCTCCAGCTGTCATGATCACCTCCATGCTGAAGGATCTGAACGCTCAGGAGAGAGACACTATTACCTTCGAGGTCACCGTCAATTACGAGGGCATCACCTACAAATGGCTGAAAAACGGCGTGGAGGTCAAGTCTTCGGACAGATGCCAGGTCCGCAGCCGGCAGCTCACGCACTCGCTCACCATCCGAAACGTTCACTTCGGAGACGGAGGAGAGTACCAGTTCGTGGCCGGGTCCGCCGCCACCGCCGCTAACCTGTTCGTCGAAGGTAATACAAAGCATTACACGTTCAGAGTTGACTGATTAGTTCATTAAACACTCCGAGGGAGATTTGGGATTTTCCCGGCTGCCTGTGGAGATTACACTTCACTTAGCATAAAACATGTGGGGTGGTTTCTCTTTCTGTCTGTTTTTCTGACGATTGTACGTTTGAAAAAATGTTTGAATGTTTAGTTCAAAGGACGAGGGACAGAAACACTTTAATTAATCTGCTGGTCTGGATTCATCTGAAAGGCCCAAACTGACAATATCTGAAATTCGACCTGTGAAGAAGTCACAGATGATGTTTTTTTTTGTTTGTTTTCAGCTCGTGTGATTGAATTCACCAAGAAAATCAAGGACATAAAGATCACAGAGAAGAAGAAGGCTATTTTTGAATGTGAGGTTTCTGAGCCAAACATTCAGGTGATGTGGATGAAGGACGGCCAGGAGATGGACATGACTGAGGAAAGGTAATGTCGTCTTAAAAGAACCGCAATGAACCTTCCTACAGCTGACACTTTAACAACAGCATTTGAAATGAGCTGAGCTGAGAGTCTCTGTGCTGTGTCCACAGGTACACAGTGACAGCAGAGAAGTACGTTCACCGCCTGATGATCCAGACAGTCCGTATGTCCGATGCTGGAGAGTATTCGGTTGTGGCCGGATCAAGTGTCTCCAAGGCCCAGCTGATCGTGGAGGGCCGCGACATCCGGATCTCTGAACCTGCCGAGCGGGAAATCACGGTGAGACGGACGTTCATTTAAACCAAAGTGGTCAATGTGCAGGTTTTAAAGACGTCTAAACCTCTAAATCCTTCCGTCCTCGTAGGTTTTGGAGAAACACAGAGCGACATTCGAATTCGAGGTGAACGAGGACGATGTGGAGGGTCACTGGCTGAGGAACGGTGTGGAGATCCAGTTCTCGGTGGAAGAGAGGTTCAACTACGTGGCCATCAGGAAGCTGCACCGCCTCACCATCTCCGAGACCTACAGGAGCGACGCCGGGGAGTACACCTTCATCGCCGGCAAAAACAGGAGCACCATGCACCTCCGAGTGAACAGTGAGTGCAGCCAGAGGATTAATACCACAGAGACTGATGAGAATCATTTAATGGAATAAGATTTATCACATATTTATTTTCATTTGAATGATGCAATATAAAGGGGAAAAAGAGAGACCATATGTAGCCCAATATATAATATATAAATGTAAGATGTGTGGAGGAATTTAAAGCTTTACTGTTGACAACATAAAAAACAAAATATGAACCATTCACCATATCGACCTGCGGAGCCCCTTACGGAACCTGGAAAGGAAATATAGAGCATGTAGGTGAGGAAAAAATGCTCATTTGTTTTTCACATTTGTATTTTTTCTCTCCAATCGGCTCCATATCAACCAAATTCGCTTATGGTTATTTTGATCCATCTTTCTCCTCAGTGGTCATTTAATTTTGATATGAATTTTTCTGTATTACTTAAACCTACAAAAAACGTTTATATATATATTTATGCACCATAATGCCAATTTGATTTAGTGGATAAGGACCTAATTAGGGCTGCAACTAGATAATAATTTAATTATTTACTTATTTAAAATGGCCGTCACAATTACACAAAGCATGTCACGTCATGTCACGTCAAAATTCAGTGACAAACAATCCAAACCCTAAAAATGTTTTCTAAATGTTTTTGATAATTGTTTGATACAGTTAAAATGGCGACCTCTACTGGTCGACCCTTGGTACTGCATTTATTTTTGACGATTACATCTGCGACAATGAAAGAAAATGTTTATCTCAGTGCTGTTGTTTCTATTTTGTTTAATCGGATTTTATTTCATTGTTTTATTTTTAGTCTGCTGCTCAGATTTTAATTAGATAACAATTTCTCATTCCTGATTAAATGATTTTTGAAAGGTTGATGCTGTTTTATTGAGTCTGCTTCAACAATGAGACTAATGAGAACCAGTTAACACCAAATTTTACTTTAACTTTGTTGTTTTATTAAGAAATGTGAAAACAATTCTCCTCCTTCCTGTCTGACTACATCTTTTATTTTTCTCCTCGTTCAGTCCCAGAACCGCCTCAGATCCTTCGCCACATGGAGCCCCAGTCGGTGGAGGCCGGTAAACCAGCTCGCTTCTCCGTGCAGGTGAGCGGCGTTCCTCAGCCTCAGGTCTTCTGGTTCAAAAACTCCCAGGCTCTGTCTCCGGGCTTCAAGTGCAAGTTCCTGCACGATGGCAACGAGCACTCGCTGCTGCTGATCGAAGTGTTCCCAGAGGACGCCGCCATCTACAACTGTGAGGCCAAGAATGAGTACGGCACCGCCACCAGCACCGCCACGCTCAATGTGGAAGGTAAGACGGGACGTTAGACAGACACGAACAGGGAAATGTTTCAGATCAACACCAGGACATCTGTAGACGCGGGTTTGTGTTTGTGTTGCAGTGTCAGAAGTGGTTTCTCCGGACTCGGCTGCTACCGTTGCTCCTCCCGTTGTCATCTCACCCATCGCCAGCACCTCGACCCGCGAGGGAGAACCGGCTCGCTTCCAGTGCAGAGTCCGCGGAGATGGTAAGAAAAAGCCTTACTTAAAACGATGAAATGTGGAACTTCATCAACAATGAGACACAATTTATTCAAACAGCAGAATCGAAATAAGTAACTTTGTCTTACATGAAGGCACCAAAAACATTTTTATTAAAACAATGAAAAACTAAACAGCTGCTTCGTTTCCAACAATGGGACAAGACGACTTTCTCTTAAACTGAGAAGTTGTGCGAGTGCTCTTACTCTTAAATAAGATATTAGCTCTTCGGTAACTGAAACATTATATCAGATTTTACCGATACAGTTGCAAGTTACTTCAGGCACTTCCTGCAATGAAAGTTGGACATTGGACATTCTCCTGTTGAATTAGTACAAAATATGAACAACTGTGTTTGAAAATGTCTGGTTTTAGACAAAGAAGTTGAATGTACAAGTAGCCTGCAGACATAAAAACTGTAGGAGAAAAGTCAACTATTGTGCAAGCAAGAAACATCCAATCACAGAGAAATTAGTGCAGATTTCCATTATCCCCACAAGTGAATGAACTGGTTTCACTGCAGTACATCTTCATCAGAAAATCCAGTCTGCCTCCTCAAACGTTCTTTTCCTTTCTCCTCTGTCCAGACGTGAAGATCAGCTGGTTCCACAAGGAGAAGGAGATCAAGCAGTCTGAGTTCTTTAGGATGTCCCAGTTTGACGACAGCTGTCAGCTGGAGATCTCCAGGGTTTACCCGGAGGACGAGGGCGAGTACACCTGCGTGGCCACGAACAACGCCGGCACCGCATCCTGCTCCGCCACTCTGACACTGGACGGTAAGTTCCTCACCACAAAGAAGTGCTTTTACCCCGACACTGAGAACGTAATGGTGAACAGAACAGTCAGCTTTTATAGTGTTAATACACAGAAAAGTGACAAATGAAGGAAAAACCTGAATAAATGAATGTAGAAACTAATGCAGATGGTGAAACAGCCACAAGATCTCAAACCAAATGAAGACCTTTGTTAATTTCGGGAGTGTCTTTATTTTGGTTTTCACTTTCATTTGTGACCTACATGCAGATGTTTTGTTGTTGTTGTCAACCAGCTGTGGTGGCGCCGTTTTTCTTTTCTCTACTGAAACACAAACACACATCCCAGTGAGCACCAGTTCAGTGGTTTGAAGATGAAAAGAAACAAAGAAGCTGAATTTGATTGAACAAACTGACTAATCGTTGCAGCTGTAGTCTCAAAGCTCTAGCAGCGATGTGAGTTTGAATCACAATGTTTTTACAGGGACACTAAATATGAGAGGACTCTTTTCTATTATTGTTCTTTATGTTTTTTGTTGGTTATTCATTAGGGAGGTTTATAAATGAAGACAAACTAAAATTAATTAATAAACATTATTGTGATTGTAATAAATGCTTTAGAAGAAGCAATAAAAACAGAAGGATTTAACGAGGCGCTATGGTGTCGATTTGCTTTGGTGTCGACTTTCTTAAAGTCACACACTGACCCAATCATCTCCCCAAGAAGTTTTGCAGTCACATGGCAAGAGAGGTATCTAGTCAGAAAACAGGGACTGGTGAGGATGGTTTCTAACTAGCAGATTTAATAAAAAGTCTTCCCACCATAGGCAGACTGCTTTCAAACTGAAAATCACCTCAATTGTGCAGACTGGGATGAGTGTGAATCAAATAAAGCACATAAAGCCAATGAACATGCTTCCTTTCAGGGCAAAAACAAACAGTGGACAGTCCTGCTGAGTCTCAGTGGCATATCTCCACCAGCCTCACCAGTCTAAAGAAACCTTCCATTGGCCAAAAGCCAGTTTTCATCCAGCCAATCACGAGCTGCTCGGTGCCACACGGGGAGGTGGCCCGCTTTCATGCATGTGTGTCTGGCATGCCGAAGCCAGAGATAAGCTGGTTCCACAACCGGCAGCCTGTTGAGCCCACCAAGAACGTGGTGTTTCATTTCGATGAGGTGTCGAACACCGCCACGCTCATCATAGTCGATGCTTTCTCAGAGCACGCGGGGCAGTACACCTGCAGGGCAGCCAATAATGCCGGAGAGGCCGCATGCTCGGCCACCCTCACCGTAACCGAAGAGGAAGAAGGTAACTTCTGGATCCGTTGGCTGCAGCCGGATTCCCTCTGAAACTACACTCCAAATAAACCAGTTTCTCTTTTCTGCTAGATTAATTCACCCCCCTCGAAAACCACAAAACACCTCAAGGGATGTCCCGAACCAATCTGTGCATCAGATAGATAAAAGTCTGATTTAAATCATTTTAAATTAAAAAAGTATTTTTAACCTTTATTCAACAGGGAAACCCTGTCAAGAAATATTGTTTTGGCCAAGATAGGCAGCAATAGAGACATGTTACTGACTAACAACCTAAGACAAAT